ACAATTACCACTAGTTGATTAATGCTGTTTATTTATTAATTTCAATTTTTGCTCATTATATTTTTTTTCCAAGCATTTCGCTCATTTTTTTAATTTTTTTTTATAGCTTTTCGCTATTATTATTTTTTTCTAGCATTTCGCTCATTATTATTTATTAACCGGGAGACTTTATTTACTTCACCGGATTTCTCTCTTTTTTTTTGAGCAGTATATTTTTTTAAGCAAATCAACTGTTTAATGTGGATTCATCCATCAATATTGACAATTTCTTATCACGTCCGTAGGTCACCAATGTGGGGGAATTAATTATCGACTATGTCAACCTTCATCTATCAAAAGGTACCTCCTGATAGAATCGAGTTAACATGTCTTATATGCTAGTGATTTGTTATTTAACATTTGTAGTGGTAGTTACGCCACAACACCATCCAGACGCATCTAATGTAATCAAAAACATCACATTAAGCATCGCCAACGAATTGATGAGATGGCTGAAGACGTTGAAGTTTCCTTTTATAAAACCGTCGTTGAACAGGCGACCCAATTTTTATGGGCTTACGATTACTAATGTTCAACTCCGTAGTCTTGAAATTTCGAACCCAATCCAGAAGACAAGGGAACTCCTGGATCGAGTATTGGGAGAAATTTGCCTTCGTGGAGGATATTTTGATGGCGCTAACCAGCATTTGCGTTGCATGGAGAGGAAAACCATAAACTACCACGGTTAGTCTGACAGCAGGGGGACTCTAACCCATGATCCGTCTACCACTGAGGATATTTTGCATCACCACTGTGGTCGGTATGAGCCGGGTGTGGAATCCGTATCAACCAGCCATTACTGGGATTCGAACCCGGTTCACCTCATTCGGAGGTGCACTTTCTGGTACAATAATCGCGAGCACAACTCGCAAGGCCATAACTATGCCGGGGCACCGCCCTGAGTACCCGGCGTACAAGGGAGCCCCATATATATGAGGGTTATTCAAATGAAACTTGGTCAGTGCGTCTAACTTTGGAGTAGACGTAATGGGGAGTCACGTAACTGCTTGTATGGCAGCACCATCTATTGGTAGAGAGACTGACGCATGCGCAACGTTTGACGTTGCATAGTGACAGTGTAGTTGCACGCCGAAGAGAAGGTCGTTACACAAGTTATCGTCCACTACGGAACATGCAGGGGAGTAAGCAGGAAAGAGTGCGGTGAGAAAGACATTGCAACAGTTTTGGTGGGAAACGCTTAAACATCCACCATACGGTCCAGGCCTGGATTCGACAGCAGCCTACTAGCTTCTTCAAAGGCTAGTGTCACAGTGAGATAAATGTGCCAACAGTTTTGGCGACTATTTTTGAGTATGTGTACACTGGGTATAACTACATTTGAGAGTTAATAAAATCGTTACCGTTACTTTACACTAGTGAACGGGTTTCATTTGAATGCCAATCATATATATATAGAAAGGAAATTGTGTGAGGATGGAATTGCTGAAAATTTTCTTTTTTGTAATTGCATATCTACTTTAACATGAAGGGAAGGGTAAAAAACGGTTAAAAGAAGAGAAATATTTCTCAAAAGAACAAACACGCTTCGTAGAGTTGATTGCTAGCACTCTCTTTATATTGTGTCTCACTTAGTTGTTTCCTCTACTATCTAGAGTCAGACCCAGTGGCGTGCCAACTGGGCCCTTCTAAAATTTAAGTGATGGGGCCAACAATGTGTTTCGCTCCTCCTAAAATTTAGACACTCACAAAAATAAAGTCAAGTAAAATTGGTAATTAAAAAAAGCTTTTTTTTCTCAATTTTGATAATGTGCTTTACATCTTCTGATATTTAGTCGTTAGCCAAGACAAAGTCAAGTAAAATTGGTAATTTTAGAGTTAAAAAAAAGCTATTTTTTCTCAACTTGGAAGCTATACATCAAGTTGGAGAGTTTATTTTGTTCTGAAATTAAACTAAATGGGCGAATAATGTGGTTTTTGACATTTAGAAAAGTAATAAAAGTAGAAAAAATACTTTATTTCCAATTTTTACTCTATTTTCCGGTAGAAAGCTTTATTTTCTTCAGAAATAGTAATGAGAGGGCGAACAAAATGTTTAGCTCCTTCTGAAATTTCAACGTGAGCAAAAATAAAGTAAAGAAAAATTGGTAGTTAAAAAAAGTTCATCTTTGAATCTATTTTCAAAATAGAAAATTTTCTTTTTCTCTAAAATAAAAGTGAGGGGGCAAAAAATCTGTTTCGCATCTTCTGAAATTCAGACATTTACAGAATAAAATCAAGTAAGAAATTTTAGAAAGAAAAAAAAAACTTCCGAAGCAACTTTCTAAACAGAATACTTCATTTTCCGTTTAAATTATAGTAAGGGAGTAGAAAACTTGATTTTCTTCTGATATTAAAGTAAGGGGGCAAAAATATGTTTGTATCTTCCGAAATTTAGACTTTTGCAATAATGAAGTCAAGTAAAATTGGCTGTTTTTTAATAATATATTCGAAACTAAATTAAAAAATTAAAATTTAAAAAAAAAAAATCTCATTCCAATTCATACTTTTAATACTGTAGCAAAGATAATATGTTTCACAGGTAGATGAAAAAAATTTATTGAGAAACTTGAGCACTTTCAATAATTACATTATTTAACTAGTTTTAAAAACTAGAGAACATAGGACGTCCATTTCATTTTAATAATTTTTAAGTGACATTGACTTAATATTAAATTTGTTCACTTTATTTAAGATCAGGATTTTGTCCACAGTGGGAAAAACCACGAAGAAAACCACCCCAAAGAAATAGGTTTCTTCCAACTTAAGTGGAAGAAACTCTTTTTAAAAAACAAATATGAAGTAATTAAACAGTTTTTAATTGCAATCCAGTTGAAATAGTAGTGGTAATATTCCAGCTATTTAATGTATCATTTTTAAATAAATGAAAACTAAAAAGTTAGAAAACTTTTTTTGGTTTTCTTAAAAAGTTAAAATAATAAGTTTTTCAATATTTTATTTTAAAAAGTATAGTAAAACTTAAATTTATAGTTACATAAAGAACAGTCAAAATAGCACAATCAAATTTTATTAATAATACCAAATTAACAAATCTTAAAATTTAAACGAAGATGCTGACGAAGAAGAAGAAGAAACGAAAACACATATTGAATTCTCAATTACAAAGAGCTACTTCTTATAATCAAATGATGTTAAGTACGAATATTCCAACAGACTCTTAAATAAAATGATATATCGATTTTTAAATTCTCCATAAAACTGATAAATATATAAACAAAGTTTTTTTTTTCTTAACTTAACGTGATAAACTTTAAACTTTCTGTTTCTGTATCAAATTTTATTTTGAGTTATTCTTATAAAAATTATGAAACAATTGCATTTTTAGTTTCTTTCATTTTGTCCAGTTTTTTCCACTGAACTGGAAGAAATCTTCTGGATAAAATGCCAACGATGTTAAACATAGATATTTTTGTGATAAACCATTTCTACATAAACATTTATGTTTATTTGAAGTAATATCGTCGCTGCAAATCCAATGCTATTTCATTACTTACATGTTCCACTTTCTTTCAGCGTTTGCTCTTACACTGGCAAACAGGAAGTCATGTGATAACGGGGAGCTCTTCGAAGAACAGGGTGCGTAGCCAGATTTTTCAACAAAAAATAAGCACCTTTTAATTATTTTTTAAACACTCACAATATTTTTAATCACTTTCCCCCCAAAAAATTCATAATTAGGATCTGTGCAATAATAAAAATTATTTTTTTCTATGGCTTAAAGTTCTTCATTTATAAACATAAAATCAATAAAATTAAAAAATTTTACAGAATCAGGATTAAATAAATAATTTCTGATAAATATTGCCAAGAAAATTTTGAAAATCACGCATTTTTTGTAATTTAGAACCACAAACAGAAGGTCAAGAAAACTGAGATGGGCACAGTAGGCCTTGGCCCTCTATGGGCTGTCGAGCCACTAAGTTTAAGCACTTTATACAAACCCCGAATAAAAAAAAGCATCTTTAAGGGCTTTTAGAAAATGTAAATCAAAAATAAGCACCTTTAAGCACTTTTTAAAAATGCTACGCACCCTGAAGAAGAAGCATATTTTTTTTCTTATTGGTATATGAGAAATTCATTAGGTTATACCTTAAAATGAGGATCGCAGCAAGCGGGCTGTTACAAGAAAGAGCAGCAACGTAAGAATTAAAGAAAATGCAAGCGATCGGGAAAGCGGGTAAAAAAATAGATAAAATAAGCTTTTGCAAAACGCAGAAGAGATTGCAGCTATGCAATACTGATTCAAATTATCAATTAAACTCAAAATTCAAAAAACATCTTTTTTCATTTTGTAACGATTGCAGGGGTGATTGTGAGCCCAACTCAAAAATCCTGAAAATTTCACGAATAAAATCCTTATTGATGCATTTCAAAAAATTAATGTCTTTATAAATTTAAATCATGGATATTTTCAGAACATGAAATTCTAACTAACTTATATGCAGCATAATTTAAATGAATAATTATGTATAAGGTTACTTTTATCTATAATCATATTGTTTATTCTACTAGAAGAAAATATTTACAAATGAAAGAGATGCCAAGTTTAAATCCCGGGATTTTTAAACAAAATATACAAGAATTTTCATATACATAAATGTGATCGACGATTTCTTGAGACTTCTGGAGCTTGGATAGCGAAAAATCCGGATTTTTTCTGGAGCACAATCATCTTTACGATTGTAACTGGAAGAATTTAGATAAATAGTAGAAAATTAATTATATAAAACACTTTTTCAAGAAAACCAAGTTTGTTTTTTTTTCTTCAAAGAAAAAAAAAACGTTTTGTTTAAATTACATTGGATTAAATTGTGGTTAAAACCAACTTGATTTAAAACAACCCTCCTTACACTTAATAATTTGGACTCTATCAATAATAATATTCACTTAACACTTGCACTAAATACTTTTTATTGGTACAGATTACATCACTCTATATTTACCTCATTTTGATATATTTCACTTTCCTTACATTTACAATGTTCGCAAACTGAATAATCTAAAACAAAACAAAAAAAGTATGTATAAATTTATCACCACATCAAAAAAGTAGTATTTCATTTGTTGATTCATGAAACAATTCGTAAACCAATTCAGAATGAAAAATAATACAAAAATGGCAAAGAAAATATTAAAAGCAAAATTATGGGACGCATGCACAAATAGTTGCTGCTATGCATGTAGGTATCAACCATAAAAAAAATTAACAACTAAATGAAAGATATTGCAACTAATTAGTTCGTTTGATTACAATAAAAATACTATACAAATAAAGTAAAAAACAATAATACATTTATAAACCTTAAATTTGTCAGGAAAAAAGGAATCAAAACACATTTATGGAGAAGAATAGATTCTGCTTTTTCAGCAAGCACTGGTTCAAATATTCGTAACAATGTTTTAGATATTTGGTTTTCTAAGTAATACTGCGTATCAATTAGAATGTTATTTTCTAGCACATAAATCGGATCTTCAGATTTCAAATAAGCAGCTGCCTTTTTTACTTGCAGCTATTATACAAGGGTATTTTTGGACAGGTAAAGTATTTTTGGAGGAATTCAAAAAAATGATGTGTGGCTCAGAAGATCCAAATCTAGAGCTTTATCACTCATATAATGAACCTGACATTATTAACTTTATTAAACGACAAAGAATAAAAAGGGCAGACCACGGTATCAGAATGGATGAAGACCGTACCGCAAAAAGAGTTTTCAATGCCAGACCAGTTGGCACACGAAAAAGAGGCAGGCCGAATTTGAAATGGATAGATGGCCTAGAAAAAGACCTTTTGGTCTTAAAAGCTAAAAACTAGAAACAACTAGCAGGAAAAAGGTTATCCTGGAAAAAACTTCTTGAGAAGACCAAGGCTCACTCTGGCCTGTCGTGCCATGGATGATGATGATGAATTTAGTTTGTTTCATACATGATTGCACATTAATCCTTTAAAACCAATTTTGGAATGAAAGCATGGATATGTATTTTGTTACTCTCAGTCTCAGTGATGTAATGTTCTGCAAGTTTTATAAATTTCATCTAATATCCCAAGTACAATCTGAATCGCTATTATATATTGTTTTGAGGCCATTCAGAAAGTAAAATAAGACATTGGAAAATGGGTTTATAGCTCTATATATGATAACCTACTTAAAATTTATACTTCGATAAAAGTATATTTTAAAACTTAACAATGAGCCAGCTCAACATGAGCTTGTTTAGCGGCATATTCTTCATCTGTTTTTGCAAACTCTTTAGTAATGACTAATTGTGATATGTCTATTTGGTTACAAAGCAAATCTGCTATAGTTTGCTTGGCATAGTCACAAGCACCCTCTGGATCCCTAAAATCAATTCATACTACACAACAAAACTGACAATAAACTATAAAAATATATCTTACTATACACTAATATTTGCGCACATAAAATAAAATCCAATAAAACCCCTAATAAGAATTTATTAAATGATCTAAACCTTATAGTCTATCTGATACCAATCTTTAAATTAAAATAATTAGATAAATTGATGTGTATAGTGAGCAAAATAGTTAACAACTTGGATAAATTTGATCTAATAATTGGATTTACATGTATTAAATAGGACTCCCTCTAAGTTGTTTGAAGGCCTAATAAAAAATATGTTAATTAATTAGGGAAGATGATATTTTAAATAATGGCATCAGATACAAAAATGTATTTTCTTTGAATAAATATAATTTTTTTCCCAACAGATTTTGATTTTTGACCCAGAACATGAAGGNTCTCAGTGATGTTGTTCTGTAAGTTTTATAAATTGCATCGAACATCCCATGTACAATTCAAATCATCATTGCATGTTGTTTTGAGGATATTCAAAAAGTGAAATGAAACATTAGAAAATAGGTTTATAGATCTATCTATACACGATAACCTACTTAAAATTTACAATTCATTAAAAGTACATTTTAAAACTTACCGATGAGCCAGTTCAACATGAGCTTGTTTAGCTGCATATTCTTCATCTGTTTTTGTCAACTCTTTAGTAATAACTAATTGTGATATGTCGATTCGGTTACAAAGCAAATCTGCTATAGTTTGTTTGGCATAGTCACAAGCACCCTCTGGATCCCTAAAATCAATTCATACTACATAACAAAACCGGCAATAGACTGTAAGAATATGGTAATATATCTTACTATACACTAATATTTCTGCATGTAAAATAAAATCCAATAAAACCTAATAAGAATTTAATAAATAATCTAAACCTTATAGTCTATTTGATATCAATCTTTTAACTAAAAGAAGTAGATAAATTGATGTGTATAGTGAGCAAAATAGTTAACACCTTGGATAAATTTGATCTAATAATTGGATTTACATGTATTAAATAGGACTCCCTCTAAGTTGTTTGAGGGCTTAATCAAAAATATGTTAATTAATTAGGGAAGATGATATTTTAAATAATGGCATCAGATACAAAAATGTATTTTCTTTGAATAAATATTATTTTTTTTCCCAACAGATTTTGATTTTTGACCCAGAACATGAAGGGGAAAAAATCTGTAGTTTAGGTATGAGAACAATCTAAAGTTTGAATCCTTCGATGTTAAACCAATAAACTGATGTCACATTTTGTATGCCTTATAATTCAATTTTTTCTTAACTTTTTATAAATTAATTAACAAAAGGTAAATTAATAATTATTAAAAGTTAATTTTTGCATAGAATTAATTACCTTTGGACAAACAAGTTTCATAATCATTTACAGAATACTTTTGATTTGCTTTATATGGAGAGACCTCTGATATGGAGAAGTACGCAAAATTTGAAATAAATTTTAAGGGGCTTAAACTACCAACTAATTTCCTGCCTAAACTAGTCGCACCCTATTTTTCAGATTGCTGTATCGTGACGGTCAAGAATATAAATACTTAAACATATTTATATACATACATGCATACATAACTGCCATCTTTCACTCTTTCCGAGAGTGGATTTTCCAAGTGGTTGTAAAACAATTTTACAAAAAACAATCTTACACAAAAATATATTTATATTTCGACCAGGTCGAAACTTGCAATCCTAAAAACCATTATGTTTTTATATTTTTGTTGCAATTTTTTACATGTAGTGCTGGTCAAACTCATTTATAATTATCATAATTCAAATGTTTAATGGAATAACATGAGTTTCACTATTACTTTAAATATGAAAATAAAATCTTCTTGGAAAACCAGAAGAGTTGGCAGCTATATATATATATAAGTTTATGCAAAAAGGGATGCTTTTGTGTCTGATTATGAAACTTAAAATATTGTAAGCACTAATTCATTAGAATATTTAAGGATTGGCTCTTGAATACACAAGATTGACTCCTAATGTGCATCTATTTGTTAGATAAAAACTTCAGAGTGTTCACTTTTTTTTTGCACTGCACATCACAGAATATATGATGAAATGGATCTATTTTTTTTACTACAAAAGTAATCATTATATTTTTATTAACTCACCTTTGTACATGCATTTCGATTTGCAACAGAAATTTTGACCATTTTCTAAATAGCATCAAATCTCTACTATACCCCAAAACAATGCGAGTTTCTGTTGCTTCCTTGTCATTTACAAGCAGAATTTAGTCATTTTATCACAATGGAATTTAATGTAAATTAACAATTCGACTAGCTGGTGCGCTCAAGTGGAACTCTGTGCTAGGTGGCTACGCAAAGTTACAGTTCGTTTTCCGCATGGTGCAAGAAAAATTTTGACTTAAACCAACTAACACATAAAAAATGCCAAAATGATTTTGTTTTTAAACAGTCCTAAAACAAAACATTTAACAACATATTCATCATTACAATAATTAAACTTTCAAAATCAAAAATTCTGTGGGGAGAGAAATTATAGACAATGTCAACCTTCATCTATGGAAAGGTACCCCACCATAAAATCGAGTAACATGTCTTATATACTAGTGAATTGAAATTGTATATTTGTAGTGGTAGATACATTAAACATTTCCCCCCATGTCTTTCGAAAATAATATGCCCTACAATTCCAGTTTATCAACAAAAAAAAACCCTTTTTTATTTACTAGAAAAAAAGCAATCTTCAAAGATTTTATTCTATTAAATATTTATAATTTTCTTTTATTTTTATCCTTACACTCTCTGTCTCCCAAACATATTAAAAAATGTTTGCACATAAATGTTATTTTTAAAAATACTAAAATTAAAAAGGTTTTAGAAGGTTCCGAACCTGTCGATAAAGAGTTTCTTTAAACAAGAATTGATGAGATTTGCAACCAAAGGACAATTATCTCTTCTCGTAGTTTCAATTCCTTTGCAATCCATTTTATCACGGATTTCTGGCCTCATAAAGTAAAGATCAGCATATTGCTTGGATAATAAACCTAAATAAATAAAAAGAAAAAATGCTTTATTAAATTCCCTTTTTTACAATGTAATAACTTAGTAACATTCAATATAATAACATTATAAAAAACCTTGTAAAATTTCTTTAAAATAGGGCTGTAGAAACTGCGCTCCTAAATAGTAAATTAAATTTTGTTTCTGAATTTCATCTAAAGCACATTTGCTGGTGGCAGAGTTTCAGTTATTCTGTTAAAATGACTATAAACGAATAAACAAATTTAAATACCTGTGATCGTTTATTTACTGAAACTAATGAGATAGTGTTAGAAATTAGAGCAAGGATGATTACAGGAAGCAAGTGCTACTAAGCTTTACAAAAATTAATGAGATTTAGTTATGTAAATATTAAACTTAAAATACTAATAAATAAGGTGATTGTTTGACCCATTATGCTATATGGATCAGAGAACTGTTCTTTTAAGAATATAAAAAAGGAAAATTTTAAGAAAGATTTTTGGCATAACTTGCAAAGATTGAACGATCAGAAGTAAAGAGATAACAGTAAACACTAGCTATATTAAGAACTACAAAAATAAAAAGAAGCCAATAAATCTAACCAAACATAACTTAAGAAGGGACAAAGGTGCTAAAGTATTACTTAGACAGAAAATCAGGAGGGCTCATATAATCAAAAATGTAATAAAATTCCTTTGAACTAGGGGTGCACAAACTGAGATTTTCTAAAACCAAGACAAATTAAAACAAATAGTAAAATTTTGAAATTAAAAATGTAGTTTATGTACAATAAAAAAGAATAACATTAATTATGATACAAAACAACCTAGCGTACTTACTATAATAATTACCACTATACTACTATAATAATTTTTAAAAAAAACTTTAAATGTTTTCAATTGAAAATATTACATTCATACAATATCATAGACATACACACCTGCAAATACAACAGATAACTTGTTGTACTTAATTTTTATAACAAACTGATATTGTTCGCATGTTAATATACTTAATGCTCAATTGAAAAAATATGCATTGCAATCCCACAGAGCTGAAGCTATTAATTTTTTCTGTGGACAATTCTGAAATATAAATACAGTGAAACCACTCTCCGTTCCACAGTAAAATGGTCAGTACTTCCATTGACTTCAAAAGGTACATGATTTTTCGCAAACAATTTTAATTTTCCTCAGTGTCATTTTCTTGGTGCCACTTGTGCTGGCATCATAAATAAAATTTAGTGTCAATAAAAATGACCCCTACGGATAGAATTGAGTAAAAACAAATTTACCAATTACGAATGATAGAACTATTTTAAATAAATAAACAATTATGTTTTTTGTTTAAATTTGCATTTAATTTTATATCATAAAAATTAGTTTACTTTAAAAAATGAGAGGTTCGTTTGGTTGAGATGCTAGTTTTATCTAAATTAACCTTTTTTTCTAATTTAACTTTTATCTCTGAAACTAAAACATTGATGGCATCGTCTTTAGTGCACAATCTTTTTTTTTAATATATTTTTGGCACAATACATTTTTTTAAATTCTAATATTGTAGGCAATATTCTTGCATTTTGTAGGCAAATGCAATTTCGAATTTTGTAAATCATTACACAAATTAAAATTAGTAAATAAATTGAACGATAATAATAATATAAAATTCATACATAAATTAAAAATCGTAAAATCCCTGCAGTAACACCCAAAATAAAGATCACGAGAATAGGGCTCTGTAAAAATGAGATACTCACATAAGGGTATGTAAAATATGGTGTTCTTTTTTTTAAAAAAAATAAGCGAGAAAAAGCATAATTTCTAGACTGAACTATGTTTTAAACTTTGGTAATTACTGAAATTTTTATTTTATATTAATAGTTTGAAATTCTAGCTGAAGCCAGTCATTACAGATTTTTTTTTAAAATCTCAAATCTTCCTGTCTGACGCGCAAGAAAGACTCTTTGGAAGAAAAAAAACTCTGCAAAAAAATAAAAACTTTTTTCAAAAAATTATGCAGAAAGGAAAACCAAAATTTTCCCCTTCCAAAATGAAAAATCTTTCTACAAAGACTCTGTAACATTCTGCTAGAATGTCGCTGTAATTCTGTCACAGGGCTTGTCAATATGTTTTCATCATTTTTGCCATTTACTAATTCAGGTGAAGGAACACCAGGTTACACTGAAATACCTTTTGAACCATTACAATTGAGTCCTAGCACGTGAAGATTCAATCATTAGATCATAAGTTATACAAGGTGGTCCATTTTTTCAGCGCACCGTACACCATATATTTGAGTATATTTAAAGTAATGTGGTAACAGTAATATTTTTCACACACCCATTCGATTGAGTATTCATAGCAAAAAGTCATACACCAATTGACACTTCAAGAATAAGAACTTGCAACTTACAGTCAACAAAATTATTAGTTTTAATTTCCTGTCGCTCACTACATCATGTTTGAAAAGAACTTTTAAACTACACAATCTTAAATCTACAACTTAAGTCAATTAAAAGCATTTTTTATTTTTATCTAAGAATTTAAATTTAAAAAAAAACTCACTTTTTCTTAAACTTGATTTGTTTAAAGTACAAGAAAAAAAATATTCAATCGATAAATATAAGATTAAAATAATCTTACATTAGTTGGGTTTGAAAGTTTATTTATTGAAAAGAGATAAAATTAGACATTTTTTAAATTTTGACATACACGGGAAACATTTGCCTCAAATTTTAATAAAAAAAATTTACTATTATAACTAAAATTAAATACTCTTTCCTTTTTAACATACTTTCATTGAGTCAGCTACTTATGACTAAGCCCAAAAAAATTTAGACATTTATTTTCTCAATTTATAGACATAAAAGTAAATAGTTATCTCAAAAGAATATATTTTAATGCTTATAAATGAATAAAACTTTTTTTCTTTTCAAAAAGTTGTTTTGAAAGTTTATTTGCTTAAAATGAAAGGAAAAAAAAATACAACAATTAATAGATGCATTTTTAAAACAATCCAGCATTAGTTTGATTATAAAGTTTATTTATTGAAAATTTGAATTTTTTAAATTTTAAGAAATGGGAGAATTTTAATAAAAAAAACTGCCTCACATTTTAATAAAAAAAAAAATTTACAATTCAAACTTAATAATAACTCTTTTCTTTTTAACATACTTTCAATGAATCAGTTACTTATGACTAAACCCAAAAGAATTTAGATTCAGATATCTATTAATATTTATTTTCGCAATTGATAGACACAAAAGAAATTAATATATGAATGTTTATAAATGAATAGAATCGTTATTAACCTTTCTTAAAAGTTGCGATATGACTTTAATTTGTTGATCTCTCAGGATGCATAGCCAAATCTTTCAACAAAAAATGAGCACCTTTCAGTACTTTCTAAGCACTCAAAAAAAATTTTAAGCACTTTAAACATTAACAAAATGCAAAATAATTTTCAAAGACTTTACAAAATTATGATAAAATAACTATTTTCTGACAAAGAACTTTTTTCTTGCTTATATTAGCCAATGTAAAAAGATCAGATAGATTCCAGAGTGTGGAAAATGAAGTATGAAATTGAGAATATCTTGCAAAATGCAACAGAGTTGCAGATGAGAGTGCAATAATCTCACCAAACCCAGCTCAGTATATGTACATGCGGATCCGCAAGCTTTTATGAAACACGCAAAATGATTGGCGCTTTCATACCCTACGGTTCCACGCTACGCCAAAATAGATTGTGGTTGAATGAATTGTGAAAACGTTGTATAGAACAATACGAAAATAATGCTTTTGCATAAATTTCAATGAAAATTGAGATCATATTTTCACCAAAAAACTATGATTCCTTTATTTTTAATGTGAAATATGGATCAGATTTTCTGTGTCAAAAATTATTATTAAATGAGGAAGGGAACATTTCAGTTTAACTAAAATGTGAAATTTTTACAGCAAATAATTCTAATAGATGTTAGAAGTGTTTAACTCAAATCTCAATAAGTGATTACTGTTACCGACAATTTTAAGACTGGTTATTTTCCAGGCATAATATAGGAATATTCCAGGTTTTTTGTAAAAAAATTGCAACTCTTCCTGACTATTCCCTGATTTTTGGAGTTAAAATAAAATTCCCTAACAATACCTGGTTTTCCCTGTTCTCCCTGAATGGTGGGAACTCTGTGATTAAAATTCTGATTTCGGGGAGCACTGGCGACCTAGTTCATAAATATTCAATATAAAAATGGATAGCAGTTTGAATGAAAGCGAAATTTTTTGACATTTTAATTCTAATACGTGTTTTAAAAGTTTGATATAACATATCTTTTTGTGCATATTATGTAAAAAGTTAAGGATAATGTTAACATGCTATGAAAAGTTTTATTGAAAATAATGCAATAAATTAATTTTTTTAAAAATAATTTATGACAAACATAAACAATTTTATGTATATTGTATATGCAAAGAATATACAGAATATTTCCATAACTGTGAAATTATTTTTTAAAATTAATTAATTTGTTTGTGAAATTTTACTGCGAATTCTACAGTGAAATTAAAAAAAAAATATTGCAATATAGTTGTTGCCCTGGCCATTAAGGCAAAAGGCATTTGTACTCAGTTATTCGGAGTGTCTCACAAAAGACTAAAATTTATACAGTTAAGGAGCCTCCCTCAAGAAGTTGTCACATTTCGTCCCAACTAAATAAAAAAAATATTATAAAATGGATAGTACATATTTTAATAAGCTATATTTTTAACTGTGTGTAACATTTAATAAGTTACATTTTTAACTTTCTCAAATGTTTAATGTGAATCCTCTTATTTATCCCCTTAACACACAGATGTTTTGAGAAAAAACGGCCAAAAAAAATAAATTTTTTTATGTAAAACAATTGATTCCACTCCTGGTTCAACTTTTCTTTTGGTGGACAATTTTGATATACTACGTTTTTGTTCCATGGAAAAAGGCTATATTTTATTCTTGAATACATAAATGTTATAGCTTACAACCCTATGTAAATGATGAATATCAATAAAAAGATTTTTTTTTCATAGCTTTCACATTGTTATTTTTAATTCTCGATTATATTCGAGTGTGAAAAATCATAGCAGCATAAAGCAGCTCGAATTATCTCGAATGCGCAGTTTAGCCTGTTTAGTGTGCTCGAATTAACTCGAGAACACAAGTTCAGGGGTTAAACAACAAAAAACAAAATTTTAGAAACAATGTTATCTATCAAGAGTTCTGCATCAGAAAATTCCAAAATAAGAACATTTTAAGACACTGAAAGTCTGTAAAGAAAAAGAAGGAAAAAAACAATAACAAAAGAAAAATTTAGGACTTTTTGAGGACATTGAAAACTAGCTGTGTGAATTTAAAATCATTTTAAATATATAAGAAAACTGCTTAAATATTGCCCTCGTTTGCCATTTATTAAATATCTTAAATAATGGCTTTCTAGTACATAATTTTTAACAAGGGAAACTGACAAACAAATTGTATATACAACCACAGTAAACTAGCCATTCTAATCCTACATTATGAAAATCAAGTGGATATTTAATAGCTATTTTTTAATATATTTCAATCCATTAAAAAAATTGTAATCACATGCTATGATAGAAATTAAGAAAATTTAGTCAACAGTCCAAAAGTAACAGTAACTAAAAGATTATTAGTCCGTACATATTTCCATTGATTTCAAAATTTTTTTTATTCCTTCTTTAAAAAATTAATTAACCTTTCAAGCCTTCAGCCTCTGGAAAATTACTCGCTATGTACTACTCTCCCATCGAATAGCATGGGGAAGCCAGTTTTTGATGAAGGAATGCTTGCAGCTTGTTCAGAAAAAGCCGGGACTAACGCTTAGAAGATTAAATGCATTTTAATAAAAAAATTTCACACAATTATGGTAAAATATGCCATTTTGTGACAAAAATACAGACCAAAATACAAAAACATCATTCATTTACATTGAATTTCCAGGTAACCATAGATAATTTATTTTATAAAAGTCCCAAAGCACCATTAATTTAAGCAAACGAATTCTTAAAATAACTCACTTTCAAAAGTTCACTCTGGTAGGACAAAACCTGCTTTTCAATGATGGGAGCACATGAATTGAGAATGAAGGGACCTTTTTCACCATGTTTGCAATCTGAATGACCGAGATCATGTTGAGAAACACACCTAACATAAACATATTTGCTCATAAAAGGAATTTATGACAAAAGTTTACAGTAAGAAAAACAATGTTATAAAACATTGTTTACAAATAGGAATCAGAGTGGTTTATGACAGAATGGTTTAATCCACAATTTAAACCGTCCTATCCAAAACCTACTTACTCGAGCTATGTCACAATTTTAAAAAAATAATGTGAAAAATAAAATTTTCATTTTTCAACAAAAAACAAAATCAAGATATGTTTTAGTTTTATTAAAAAAGTTTATAATTAATTTTAATACTGCATTATATATCCTTATGCAAAAAACATAATTTATCAAGATTTAAATCATATTTATTTATATTTAAGGGACAAAGTATTCACTTTTGTTGTTCAATGAATTGTGGAGCTTCAAAAGTTATAAATTTTTTCCTATTATATTACATTATTTTCCTTTAATAAGTTAAAGCAAATTGTATAAAAAGTATCAAATATTTATAAATATATGTAATTATTATGTTTACATTGGTTACACATATAGAATTTTTACTTCTTCCTAATGTTCAAGGTTTTGGACACTTTAAGACAGTAAAACCCAAGTGTCTTGTCCAAAACCAGTTTAGGACCTCCAAAGCTTGTACATAAGATTCTTCATCAAAAATTAAAACTATTTCAAACATCTTTAAACACATATAAAATCTTCAAATACAAAATCTTTAATTACATATAAAATTAAATATTAAAATGAGTTCAAATATATTGGAACAAATTCACATTAAAATTGTAAACATAAATAAGAAAAGGTTCAAGCTTCTTACATACTTTTAAATCACATAATTATACTTTTTGAAGATTATAATTGCATATTACACTTTCAATGATAAATTAGAAAAGGTTTAAGCCTCATAGTCACATGCATAATTATAAACCATTACAATTTTGAAATTTGTCTGGATTCTTAATCTTGGAACTAAAAATTAATTACATCGAAATAATATTATATGAAATTTCTCAAATGTAAGGAGGTATAGTTCGTTCACCAGGAGTTGGTACTCGACTCTACCTCCTCGGACGAAGAGTTCATTTCAGCGAGGGAGTAAGAGGAGAAACGTCTCTGGGATTGAAATTGAGAGAACCTTGAATGCGTGCCAAACCCAAACACCAAATTCTTGTTCAGTCACTTACTTTGCTTTATCATCAGCTATTATACCTTTCGCTACTCTAGCTAATTACATATATAGCAGCAAAATGTCTCAAAAACGACAAATTATTCACATAAAAGAGAAAAATATTATCAAAATCATGAAATATTTTATGGGAAAAAAATGCACATAAAGATTTCAAAATAAATATTTTTGTCATACGATTGCTAAATAGCAACCTTGTTCAGGATTGTTCACATCCTTCTCCCAAAAATAGCAAAATAGTATAGTTGGATGCAGTGGCGCACGCAGAATTTTTTCAAGGGGGGTGTTCATAATTTTCTGAAACAACTAAAAGAAATTCGAATCTGTTATAAAGCACTATTATTTCCCTAATTTAGACAGCTAGACAATTTTGACTTTTTATTTAGACAACATTGTTTAGTTAAATTTTGATTTGATTTTTTAAGTTAAATAACATAACGTAATATTTTCTGAAAAAAGTTTAATGTCATGTGGGTGGAAAGTAACACTTTGAGGGCCACTTTCACATTCATCAGATTTTGTTATACTAGAAACGTTTTCTTCAACGGAAGTATCACATTTCTGTAAACAGAAAAACTTACATGGGTACTAGATGCTGTCACCTCACTAATTTCAGGTCGTGATTTTTTCTCAAAATAATTAAAAATTGCTAAATTCTTGCATTAAAAATTGTTAAATCCTAAAGATCCAAGAACAGCAAATATATGTATATTGGTACAGAAATATCCGCTATGCTACGATCTCAAAGTTTCGAGATGGAATTAATAACTTCAATGAGCACAGTATCTCTGGTATTGTTACTGATTTCTTCACTAGTCGAAATACTGGCGACGACAGGTTCGGCGATTGAATAAACTTTTTGTTAAGACAAAACAAAACAGATTTAGCAACAAGCTCCGAAAGACAAGCAGCAGCGATAACTCTTAGTCTGACTAACTAATTCCATTGTACTCCGTTCCCCCTTTTATTTAATTTTTCACCGCGTCTCCAAAATTCTCAAATTGTCTCAAAGACGACAGAACGTCTAGGATTCAAGAATCATCGCGTAAAGACCTCGCGAATGACAGTCAGTCTCGAAAACTATACTGGCAGGACAAAAAAGGAACCAGTCCATAACAGTATCACGTGAATTTGGTTTCAAAAGTACAACCCTATTACAGTAAATGTATTCTCAGTATTCTGAGAAATACTGTGAGAAAAAAAAGTAGGTATAAGGTTAATAAAAATATATAGTCATAAAAATAATAGCTCGCATAATTTTACTTAAATTTTTATTTTTTCCATTTTGTCTGAGCTCAAGGGGGTGTTTAAACCCCTAAACCCCTCCCATGCATATGTCACTGGTCGGATACCACGTGATGAAGGCGGAGCCAAGTGCCAACTCCTGATGAACAAACTATGGACATCTAAAGAAAATTTACCTGCTCGTCCAGTGCATTCAATATCAAAACTCAATATACGAACAGGTGAGTTTTTCGATCATTCCCCTTCTGGTTCGTGTGATACAAAATCATTCCATGCCATGTTTAATTCAATTTGGCAGCGAGATGAAGCAGACTTGCATAACTTGACAATAAAATATATTTCATAAGTGGCACTTCAATCCAGTTGTAGTCAACTACTTTTGTGTCTACCATAAACCTATAAGTATAATCAAATCAATAAAAAATATATAATATAGGTCATAATAAGTAAATTTTGCACCTCGCCAGTGGCGAAACTAGCATTTTTAAACTTGAAATCTTTTTTTCTTTAAAAAAATTTAACATTTTTTACCATTTAAAAAACTGTTATTATTAAAAATGTAAGGCATTTCTTTCTAAACATTTCTCAAAATATGAAAAACATTAAAAGGGTCATTTCTGAAATAAAGAAAAATTTAAAAAAAACAACTAAGAACAAAAGTAATTTTCAGATTATAAAATATTCACATTTAATAATAAAAAAAAATCAAATGTAAATGAATTGTATTTTCAACCAAAAAAAAAAGTATCAAGTGGCGACTGATAGGCAATTTCTTTAATTGCCTATCAGTCATTTCTGAAATGAAGAAAAATGTTAAAAAACAACTGAGAACAAAAGTAATTTTCAGATTATAAAATATTCACATTTAATAAAGAAAAAAAAATGAAATGTAAATAAATTGAATTTTCAGCCAAAAAAAAAAAAAAATTATCAAGTGCTGACTGATAGGCAATTTCTTTAGTTGCCCATCAGTCATTTCTGAAATGAAGAAAAATTTTAAAAAACAACTGAGAACAAAAGTAATTTTCAGATTACAAAATATTCACATTTAATAAAAAAAAAATCTAATGCATATTAATTGTATTTTCAGCCAAAAGAAAAAAAATTATCGAGTGGTGATTGATAGGCAATTTCTTTAGTTGCCTATCAGTCATTTATGAAATGAAGCAAAATTTTAAAAAACAACTGAGAACAAAAGTAATTTTCAGATTATAAAATATTCACATTTAATAAAAAAAAAAAATCAAATGTAAATGAATTGAATTTTCAACCAAAAAAAAAAAAAATTATCAAGTGGCGACTGATAGGCAATTTCTTTAATTGCCTATCAGTCAATTCTGAAATGAAGAAAAATGTTAAAAAAACAACTGAAAACAAAAGTAATTTTCTGATTATAAAATATTCACATTTAAATAAATAAAAAATCTAATGTAAATTAAATGTATTTTAAACCAAAAAAAAAAATTATCAAGTGACGACTG